CCTGGACCAAGGAAGCGGCCGCCCCCCCAGGGCCTTCAGAACGTATGGGCTGGATGGAAAGCAGCTTGTCACAGAAAGTTCTTCCTTTATATAAAGACTGCATAAAGTACAAGTACATACAGCAAGGTGGTAGTTTTCTGGAAATTTCAAGAGGAAAACAAGAATGGGAGGTTTTGAGAAACATTTGCTGCTTTTCCAGAGAGGTATGTGCTCAGAGGATGCTGAATTTAACTCTTTCTCCATTCTCATTCATTAAATCTAATGAAATTCAGCTAAAATCACTTGAGACTTGACACCAGAGTGAAAGGAGACCATTACATTTCTTCTCTTCAAAGCAAACCCAAACACACAGCCAGCACTTTCTGTATCAAGCCCATCAGTCCGCTCTTTAAACCTGTCTATTGAAATGGTGATGCTTTCATACCATGACCAGGCAAGCAATGGAGAGCCTGCCAGCACCTGAGAAAAGTTCTTCTAATGATGAGTTTCCCACAATTAAATCTTACTTCTATACACTGAATTCCTCATTTCAGCTTCCCACTAGTGGATTACACTGTGCATCCTTCTCCTTAGTCGTATCTGTAAATCCCCAGCGTTATCTCTTGAAATAAACAATTGATAAAATTGCCGCAAAGATAATTGCAAAGGGCAGAGTGATCAAAAGTGGAAATGGTGAACAACCCGAAGACCCCCTTTTGGTTAAAACAGAGCCCATACTATGAGACAAGTAGGAACCTTCTGGAGTGCAGAAAACGCAATCAAGGAGGGGGAAAAAAATTTGGCCTAGTAATGGCTGGCATGCTAACACCATAACACTAAAATATTATACAAATAAAAAACAAACTGTGGAGTTACTTTTTTGGAGTTTTTTGTTTGGGGGCATAGAGTTCAAAATAGATGATCTCTTCAGCAATTTTGCTGTTATCTGTTTGTATTTGAGCAGAACTGAACTTCACTATTCAAAACTTTTGTTTGACAGTTTCTCTATATAGTCTGATCTACCTATCAAATGCTTTTTATTTACCATTTTAATTATAAGCTTTTCATAGATTTAGAAAATGAAGGTGCAGGAAGATTTAGGGCTTTGTAGATTTCATGGCCAAAAGAGACCATCATCAATCAGCTAGCCTGAGCTCTCACAGTCAGGATTTCCCAGTTCTGTCCAAGGTGATTTGGCAGGTGAAAAGCAATGATTTCCACACACCAGCTGATATTCTGACACTTAATCACATCTCAGCTGCTGCTGCTCCCCTGGTAGAATCTGCTAAATAATTCATTCCCTCTTTTCACCTAGTTTTTCATATACTTCAAAGGAGTTTTGATTTTCTTTCCCTTGTATATTGTATATTTGCCCTTTGTTTCAACCTCCCCTTGAGATGCTTTATCATAAGGCTCAGACTGGAGACAGTATTTTTAAATTTTTTTATTTTTTTTTTTTCATTTCCAAAATCCCTTCCCAGGTGCTAAAGAATCTTCTATTTTTCCGGGCAGTGCAGGATTGTGGGTAAACAATTACAGCTTGCCTTCTTCTGAGCACAAATCAATTATAATTGACTTGGCCCCAATGGGCTGGCAGGACTCATGCTGTCGCTGCACAGAGAGAGGGGGGGCACAGCCACGCATGTGTAGGGCTTGAGGCACTAACCCTTCCCTCTCTAATGGGAAAACTCAAGAGAAACCTCAAGCCCTGCCACCTGGTTCAGTAGGATGGCTAAAGCACACTGGAGGAAGGCAACCACTGCTACCAACTCCTGCTTTTCTCCCGTAGAAGTGAAGCATTCATCGGGGAATGATGGAGTCAGGGAGGGAGGAGCAAGTTTTCCTTCCCTAGTTGAGGATATGCCATCTTCTTGCTCTGAAGGGTTACTCTGCCCTTCCACCAGTGCATTAGCATTTTCCAGGCTGGAAGGAAGCTGTGCTTCTGAAGCTCAGGCTATAATTGGAAAAGTTTGCCAGGACAGACCTAATGAGAACACCGCTAGTACCAGCAAACGATGCCACGCCTGAAGTGGTTTAATTCAGTCCACTGGGCAACACAGCCACAGCGACAACAGGACTTTTTATAAGTGAATGAACACCATTCAAAAATGTTATTTTATTTCAGAAGTCTCTTGTGCTTCATCAACACAAATAGAACCACAAACACTGCAAAGAGACCTGTTCTCAGCCCCTTCCAAGCCTTGCTGCACCTTAGAATCATAGAATCATTATGGTTGGAAGATACCTCAAAGATCATCAAGTCCAACCGTACACCTGATGCCACCCTGTCCACTAAACCATGTCTTGAAGTGCCACATCTAAACGTTTTTTGAACATCTCCAGGGACGATGACTCCCCCACCTCCCTAGAGAGCCTGTTCCAATGCCTAACAACTCTAACAGTGAAGAAGTTCTTTCTAATGTCCAGCCTGAACCTCCCCTGGCGCAACTTGAGACCATTTCCTCTTGTCCTATTGCTAGTTACCGGGGAGAAGAGCCCAATCCCCACCTCACTACAACCTCCTTTCAGGTAGTTGTAGAGGGCGATCAGGTCTCCCCTCAGCCTCCTCTTCTCCAGACCTTCACACAGAGATAGCAGCCGTCCTACCCACCTCCTGTGCACAGGCAAACCGAGGGAGCAAAAGAGCAGCCAGCACTGTAAAACGAGTTTTCACCCCCTACTCAGGCACAGCCTTGACCAGAGTGCAACTTCCAGAAAGCTAAGCAGGAACTCTGAGTCCTTCCCATGATAAAAACCAGACCGCCTGGGGCTGGAAACCGGACGCTCATGTTTAGCTCCCCGGATCGGAAGCCGTAAGTCAAACTGACTTGCACAGAGCCGCACTCCACCAGTGACACAGACGAGACCCGGGGATGCCCTGCAGCCCCTGACACGCTGCTACCCCCACCCACAGGGAACAGGGATCCTTTCTCCTCCATCAGGGAGGGCCAGAGCCTTTCCTCCCCCAGCACTTAATGCCCCTGTTCACGAAATTAATAACCAGGGTAACACTGGGGCTAGACCAGAAAGAGTTAATGGGGTTATGAAGGGTTTTGCTGGCCTATTTTCCAGGCAGGCACCCTTTAATCTCCTTTGGAAACACCTTCACACAAAGGCTGGTACAGCAGCTCAGCTGGAGCCAGGATTTAACGTGGAAGAACTTGTCCCAAAGAGATTAAAAGCAGCAGTCAGGCGCTGACCCTCTCGTCAGACAGGCAGGAATTTCTCACTGGGGATGGGGAGGCGAGGAAGGCGGCTGGGTCCCGAGGACTGTTGCTGCAGCATGCCATGGCTCCCGCCATCCACAGACCCTGCATGTTTCCCAGGGAAGCTGGAGCAAGCATGTCAGGAGCAGGGCTCATCCCCACAAGCTGCCGCCATGGTGCAGAGTGGCACACCACGCATCGGCTGCCTCCACAGCAGAGCAATCTCCCCAAGAAAGCAGAGGGACTGCTGGCAGCACTTGTGATGAAGGGTTAAATCCCGCTGCCCATACCTCTTGGCAACTCAGACTGAACTAAGACTAGAAAATATGGTAACAGCACAGGCGAAAGCTGAGGGCAAGAGAGTGTGGGGACCGTCAGAGTATGCATCAATATCACAGCCTGGCATTATGCCCACAGAGGGGAAAAAGAGGAAATGTAAAGAAGAAATTGGAAGAAAGAGACTAAGAAAAGACGGGAGAGAGGACAGTCACAGGCATCCATGCAAGTACAGCTCAGCCATTCGGTGCTCCCTCCACCTTACCTGGGGGTCCCCAAGGCGACTGAGGTCTGGATAAAGGTAAAAGAGGATTCCCTGGGATGCCCCGGGCAGGGAGACTCCCCTGATCAGCAGAACGATGAGCATGAGGTATGGGAACGTGGCTGTGAAATACACCACCTGGGAGGAGGACAAAGGGACAAGCATGAGTGAGCAGCATGGGCCAGAGCACACAGCACTGGCCGGCAGCATGGCACCGACCCCCGGGCTGGGGGAGAAGGGCAGCGGCAAGGGGTGGGTCAGGCTGCCTCACCAAGCACCTTGCTGTCACCTGCAGTAGAAAGAAATGCATTTTAAAATGCACCCAGGAAATTTGTGATGTGCCATAGCATGTCTGAGGCCAGAGAAAACCTTCCTAGTCCTAAGAGCAACCCAGACCTGAGCCAGGCTGTCACCAGGTTGGAGTCAGAGCAGCTCCACTGAAGCCAGTGGTGTAATATCTACGTGCATCAGAGGACGGGCTGCCCCCAGTATCCATCTGCACTTCCCTGCCCCAAATAGAGTCTGAGTCACACACAGAAAGTCTCTTCACAGCAGCATTTAGTGGCAAGGATGAAGGGGTGTGCAGATAAGAAATACACCCTGAAACGTGATTGCTACCAAAGGACTGCCAGGGAAAACACGGGGGGTCCCCCACTCAGGGCTGGCACTGGCAACTGGCTCGTGCCCACCGCTCCCCACTGGAGTGACTTGCAGCTGCTGCCCCTGCCCGACCCCTGTTCAAATACCCAACATGGGCATTTCAGGCAGAGCAGGGCAGCACATCTCAGACTTTCCACCAAGGACGCAGATCCAAACAGGACCTTTAACCTGTGTCCTCTTGCTTTATACGCCCCTAGCCCCACGAGCAATGCAGATGTGCTCAGGTAGGGTTGAAATCCCTTCCTCTAGCAAAGCAGCTACGTCCCTTGGGGGAATGCTGTAGACCAGTATCAGCTAATCCTTTCAAGAACTCCACGTCTGGTAAATGTAACACTCAGTTTGGGGATTACCAGGGTACTTTCAGGACTGTTCAGGCTAACTGCTGTAGCGTGCGACACCACCACCACATTGTAGTCTGTGTTTCCCACACAAACTGATATAAAAGGCTTATGCAGCCTCCCCAGCAATTCAAGTAGTGTCATTAATTCCTTCGTATTGCTCCCGCACCTTCAAGACTTACTGACCACCTTGAAAAGAAGTTGTTTGGTCCGTTGTATCATGCTAGGCCAAAAAAGAAATGTTGCTCCTTCAGGTTTTTCCTGTGTGGACATGCTGAGTGAGGATTCACATCAGCACGCTTCACCTGAATGCTACCCTACAGCTCTTTTCTCAGCTTCAGTAGTTATGCACCAGAGAGATAAAGCTCATCTCTGGAGGAACTGCACAATATAATGATGTGTAAATGATCTATTTCTCACACCTGCCCATCTATCCAGAATGAGTTGTTTCAAAATGCACCTAAAGCCCACCATCCTTGAGTGGGGGTCGCAGGCTCTGCCACAGCTATAGCAGTTTCTGCATTAGAGGAGGTGCTACTAAGAACAGGCATATGATTTCCCTGGACAGTACAACCCCTTTCGCTCTGCCCCTGGGTAATCCTTATGATCCGAGTAGTGATTCAAAAAAGAGATTTTTTCTGGATCCACTTTGATGTACTCTACCTGAATAAAGCAACATCCAAAGCATCTGATGCTGCAATGCGAGTCCTCTAAGTCAAAATACACACTCTTCAGTGATTCAGTTTTGTAATGCAGAAGGACAGAAGGGTTTGAGAGATATCCCATCCTTGAAAAACCACACTACTAGATTATCAACTGTCTGCAGCTCCAGATTTTCTATGCATTTCATATGCCCTGCTCTATATATCACGGCAGTCTTGGGTAATGCCACAGGGGTCAGTCAAAAACATGTCGTTGCTGGGGCTCATGATTGTCTGAGATTTCTGTGTGAGCAGATCCATCCCTGTCCCTCCGAACCTGCATCCCGAACATTGAAGGAACCCAGGGACAGCATCCTTCAACACAGGCAAACACCACCATTCATTTCATTCTCGAATTCTCAAGGAGTCTCTGATTTAGGGCTTTTCAGTGACAGTTAATCAAATCTGCAGGTCCTGCAAGTTTAACAATCATCCCTGTATTTACCACACAACCAAATTCTTCCTTCAGGAAATGACAGGATGCAAGTCTAATGTTTCTCAGCTCATGAAAGCAAGATTAAAAACAAAAATCATAAAAATAACCTATTGCCTTTGAATCCTAGTGCATGTTCTTCCAAGATGCCAGGTTGCACATTCTTGGCCGGATCTCTAAATAACATCGGTTTTAGGAGCTCAGAATACAAACTGGTAGTTGTCTGGCATATGATTTGGATTCACATTTTGGTAACGTCCTATGTGCTTTACAGCCTGTGTGAACTAGCGTGTTAAGCTTTTCACTTAACAGTCATTCACATCTGCACTGAGACCAGAGGCCTGAATTTGGAGAATGTTTTGCTGGATTAAGAGTGCCAAACTTTTATCTAACAACATGAACATCTGGATCCAATGAGATATTACACAGTGCTTGGCTCAGACCCAGTCTTTTTATTTCTCGGACATTGTTAGCACTAACTACATCGCTAGGAACCTTGCCGGGATCAGTGTGATCATTCTGTCACACACTGGTCAACAACATCCAGGGGTTTATTTGAATCTGATCCACATGCCTCAGCAAAGTGGTTCCATCTGTGACAACCTCCTGCATCTGCGAGTGCTCCTCAGGGATGGGCAGTCCCCGTGTTGGAGGATGTGAACCACTGCTGCTGTTCTGAGTAGGGTGATTTCAGCTCATGGCATTTGCCTCTCCACAGGCAAATCACTAGAACTATGGTATATGTTTTCCCCAGTGGGATTGTATTCCCACAGCCATCATTTTAGTTGGATTATTAAATATGCAGAGGGTTGATAAACCTATGGACACTGTTGCTTTACTGAAAGAAGGTTTCTGTCTTAGAGATGATAAGGTCTTACCATCGCTAGTCCTTTTTGCTAAAAAGCACTTGCATTTAATCTAGAATTTGTATCTAAAATAGATTGAATTTGTTCTCAGCACTTCCCACACTATGTTTGCTGTATCTTAGTATCACATTTGCTGTTATTAGACTGCTTCTGCTTTCTTTTACCAGGCCACCACAGCAAGCAGTTGCTCTTTTCTTCTAATTTTACTCCATGGAAACCAGAAAATATCATCTCTGCAAGCTGCTTTATTTCCCTGTCATGTTTCATAACCCCAGACCATTTTGGAAGCAGGAGAAACTGCTAACATCCATGCCATCAACTTGATGGAAATGGATGCAGCTAAAATTCACACCCCATCACACATGATGTCTTGTTCAAATCGTGCAGAGAAGACACCATTTAGATAGCATACTAAAACCTTTTCATTTCCATCTGTTCTTGCTGGCTCCAGACAAATCTGGCTGGGAATGGGTCAGGAGGCAGTAGCAGAAACTAAGTAATGGGGTCAGTGCAAATGACAGTGGGACAGTGGCACACTCTGCAACAGAGGGAGCATGCGATGGAGCTGGACAGTCATACCAGCCCTTCCCAGAAACATTCAAAGAAATACCTCTGTGGTGACCCGGGCGGGCGGG